CACACAAGAGCAGCATCAGGCTTGTTGCAAACTCCACTGTGCAGGACAAAGATTTTTAAGCGATCCTTCAGAGCTGTTGCTACATTACATCTGGAATACCTTGCCGGCGGCCGTTAGAAACACAGATTCCACGCCGACGTTCAAGAATGCCTTGTATGATTTCCTCTTTGAGAAGTCAAAAATGAGCCAACTTTGATGTGCGAGCTTGTTTCGACACTGTAGACATCTCCCTGACTGCCTATTACCGAACTATATATTATTCATATATATTTTGTTTGTTTTATTTTCGTAAGTCTAGTATTGCGCTTAAGGGGACCTTGTCCCGGAGCGCTCAATAAATGATGCTTCTCTCTCTCTCTCTCTTTCTCTCTCTCTCTCTCTCTCTCTCGCATCGAGATGCTCAACATCGTAACAATAACATTGTGCAAAAGTTGGGATAAATGGGAGCGATTTTAATTTCATTTAATTTTATTCGTTCGAGTCGCCATTGTTTCGTGTATTTGTATGCCTCCGTCGCACAAAGAGGACGGTTTCTCGTCCCGGAGAACGAAGGAAACGCACTTTCTTTCGATACAATCAATCTCTCTTTCTTCCAGCGAGCGGCCGCTCCGCCATGTGGTGTTCAAATAGCCGTGTGTTTGTTGCAAAGTGAGGATAAGGATCTGGAAAGTCCGAGACGAGACCTCAGCGATTGCGATTTAATTATGATAGCCGGGCGTTCATCTCGAGCGATCGCGAGCTGGCTCGCGAATGGCGTCGGCACGGAGGAGCATCGCGTTAAGGATTGCAGCGTGTCGTCGTAGCGTCGTTCTAATTAGGGGTAGATAATGCCGTGTGTGCGCGGAAGCGGGAAGAAGAACTCATGAATGATAACCGCGGCGAGAACTGATTCGCGGAGGCACAAATGTGCGTTTTACCTGAACGATCGGCACCTCCGCTAATGAATAATTAATAGCCGCCGCGCGCGGCGCCGCCCGGCGGGCAGCGATGCGAGCCCCCCCCCGCCCCCCCCCCCACCGCGGAGCAATGCGGATCGCGGGCCCGCGGAACAACAGCGAAGTTCTTCTCGTTTCAGAGACTCGAGTACTTCGAGAAAGCGGGGACTTTGTTCTCTGTACTATTTCGCATCGCTGCCCTTGCCGTTAATTTTCCCTTCGGCAGCATCTCGCCCGACTTACCCGCTAATGGCGGAAAAGGAGAGACTCTCTTGCCACTCTCGCGCGCGCCTTCATTCGATAAAACTAACTTACAACCGTAACTCGTCTCGTCACATAAAGTGCAACTTCAGGGCGGCGGTGGCTCTCGCGAAATCACCCGCCGCCGCGCCGTCCAATTCCCTTCAATGTCGCTGGCAAGCCGAGTGTCTATCAATCAGCCGACAACAGCTCTGGCGAACTTTTGCTTTCGTTGCGATGTGACAGTCACAATGACAGCGATAATAGCACGCGACGAAAATCTCATCGTCCAGCCGCCAGCGTTTCCTCCGCTGCCTCAGCCATCATAATTTCCATTTCTTCTCCGAGAATAATCGAGTGGCGAGAGAGACGCCTCAGAAGAGCTCAATTCCGATTCACCGCCGTCGATCCTCGTCGTGCTATTGTCGACGGTGAAAGCCGCAAGAAGAGGCAAACGCTTGTGGAAAATAATGCTCCTCTAATATGCACACTTTCTACGAGATAAGGCCGGAGCGTCTTCAGGATCGGTGAAGAAAATACCTCGGCGGATGTAACGACGTCGGGCACGCACGCGAGAGGTGGACGCGGCTAATTGTCTCGGCTTATACTCGACATTCATGCGTGATATTTAGGTCGGCCGTCGTCATTATCGAAGCGTCGTGATCTACGCGTTGCGGCGCGTCGTCGGCTGTTTAGTTTCACTTGCAATTGCTTCGCGCGTCGCTGCATCGCCCGCGCGAGGATAACCCGTTGTCCTTTCATCCGCGAGGCGACTCGCGCGCGAATCGGTGTGACGCGAATCGAGACGAATCGATATGGAAGCTTCCTCCCTGAGAAGCTTCGCGGCTTTCTCGCGAGGAGGAGAGCCGATTTTAGGAGAGAGGACTTTTCTTCATCTCTCCCTCGTGCGAAATCGTTGCGTCGTTTCACCTCGCCGTTTCGTCGCGGATACGAGTGGGAGGAGAGCCGCGCGTTACGTAACGCGGGAATCTACCACCTTCCCTCGAGAGGGGCGACATAATCATAGACGACGGGAAGGATCGGCCGCTGTTTACGGCTCCCATTCATTTGCACCCTCTTCGGGGCGCTGCCAGTCTATAATTATGGCATTAAGGGAGCAAAGCCGAGAAACTCGCGAAACAGCGAGTCGGACCACTCTCAATCGCACTGCGATCTTGATATGTGCGAACGGATAGTCGTCTTGCGATAAATGCGAAAGGTGCTTTATCGTCAGCCGTGTGGGAAGAATCTCACGCGTCACCCCTGCACGTAATAACTCTCTTACGTGTTTACGGACGTGTTGTTTACTCAACCCTTCACGATTGTGCGTACGTTGGCGTTTCGCCGCGAAACGACGACTCGCAAGAGTCGCGCGCGTTTGCGAAACGAGTTTCGCAACGCGAGCCGAACGTATCTCGACATCGCCCGCGGTCGAGTGATTAACAAGCTTTTACAGCGATGTTTACGGTACCTCGCGGCGGGTTATTCTCCTCGACGCCGGCTAAAATACTTCCGAGCCTCGCAACGGACTCCGCTTGATCGCTTTTAAATGATCCAAATCCAATTTGTGCCGCGCGCGCGCGCTCGAATCGTTCCACATGCATCGGGACTTGCCTCTTGGGGGAAATTGCTCCCTTTCTCTCGAAATAACGCGGGAGTCTAACGAGCGCTCGGCCTCTAAATAAGAGCCATTTTTAGCCCGTTAGTCGCGGCAATGGAGCGAAGGCGCAGGTAATCGAGACGAGTGACTCTCCGCAGCCGCTTCCTTCCGCTGCTTCGTCGCTACCGCCTCTCGAGACGGATCGATCTCGACGTGCCGGTCGCGAAGACGTCTTCGATCGTCGCTCGATGTCAATGAACCTTTTTACCTTCAATCGCGAGATACCATCGGAGCGGGAGGAGGAGGGACTGCACGGCGAGCAGAGGTCGAGCGAGCGAGCGAGTGAGCGAGAAACAGACAGAGAGAGAGAGAGAGAGAGAGAGAGAGAGAGGTGAACAGAACGCAATCGTAATTTCATACCCGTCACGTCCACGATTGGTCAAACCACTCGATACCGGCCTCGAGAATGTCAACCGTTCGAGTACCGTTTGTCTCGACGATCGGCTCTGCCGGAGAGAACTCGCCGGTTCCTTTTCTCGCCAGGCCGACTGCCACGCTGGCTGATACACCCTTTCCCGGGAAGGAGAACGCCAAGAGGAGGTCGGACTGAACGCCTAGTCGAGGGCAGGGTCATGCTGCAGGCTGCCTGTCGGAGAGATTCTCTCGGACGCGCGGCGGTCACCTGCTCCCGGGTCGTCTGCTGGGAAAAATCTCTTCAACTCTTACTTTTTGCCGAAAATCCCGTCTCTCTCTCTCTCTCTCTCTCTCTCTCTTCTCTGCTACAACCGCGTGACGGAGATACGTTTTTTCGACGTTCGGGAAGGGAAATGTCAATTTATGCAACCGGACGAAAATTCGGTGACGAGAAATGACGTATCTCTCGTGGAGTGTTTGTGGAGAAATTCGTTCGAACATTCAGCCATGTCGAAATTCGCAACCGAAGGAAATCGGCCGATCAGAAAGCTTCCACAGGCACCTTTCAGCTCGCGAGTTTCCCGCTTGGTGGTCCCTCTTGGTTTTCTCCCAGGCGACGGAAAATTCAGTTACGCTAACGGTATTGCTTTTTTCCGCGCAGCCGTCGGCCACTTTCCGTCACGACGTCATCCGCGCCGTGAAGTCACGTGGATTTGTCCGAAGCGAGTCTTCGCGCGTTGCCCAATCAGTCTAATTCGTCCGGGAAATTAGACCATTCGCGACAGAACGAGCCCGAGGGGCAGAAAGCTGTCGCGGCTGCGTCTCCTGCTGCGTAACGACTACAAAGGGTCATTCCGCGCGTATCTTCAGCATCGTGCGAATCCAACGGTCCTCCCAGGCTCGCCGAGGCTCGCCTCTCGCTCCCTTGCTAAGGGCCGCGTTGCGCATCGGCGATACCGTAAAGCACCTTTTCAGAGAGTACCGTTCGAGCGCGAAATTATTTCATCTGCGTCTTCATCAAGATTGCGCGCGCTGTTTCTCACGTGAGAACCGACAGGGCCAATTACGCCCTAATGGCGATATAATTATACATTTTTGCGCGGTGCAACGAGGAAGTGGCGATTAACACGGCTTTTTTTTCTGTCTGCCGCCGCGGCGCTCTCCGCTTTTCTCTCCGCTCGCGACGATCCGGCCCTTTAAGCCGTCCTTTTATTTTCCGCACTTGACCAACTTCGAATCGCCGGTGCTTTGCGAGAGCGGCAGCGTTCGCGCGATTTCGCGAAAAGGGTTCGTTAACCTTTCGCGCAGTTATTATACGCCGGCTCGAGTACCTCGAGCATGAAGAATATACCTTATACGACCGCAGTTCTAATGATCCTCACTTCAGTGGTTTACCGTTTTAATATTCGCGTTAAGTACCAGCATGCACATTATATTTGGGTTTATCGTCCTCACGCGCGAGACATACGCGATATGTAGCGTCGGCTGTAAAAATGCCGCCTCTTCCCTCGTGACGTTCGATATTGTTGGAATCTCTAAACTGCCAAGTTCCAGCCTCGCGTTCTGTCGACGATTGAAACGCGACTTGTCGTGCGACGCACGACAAGTGGTCCACACATATTTTTGCGGATGTGTTACACCCACTTAGGTGTAATTTACGAATCTGTACAGTTTTAAGACGCAATTTCAGTTACGCTGATAAAAATCGATATGATGCTGAGACGTCCACGATGTCATCAGACGCTCTGCGGCCGCAAATGTGTTGATTTCTGCGCGAAGACACTTAGTCTGTCTCGTTTGCGTTCTTGCAGAAACACTGGCCATACAGAACGACAAAACGTCCTCTCGGCTCTCTCGGGAGAATATCGTGTTGAGCGCCAGCGCCTACACTGGCCCTGAGAAAACGTCCAGTGCGAGTCGGCTGGGGGGTTCGTTGGATTTCCAAAGGACCATGCCGGCATTCCAACTGGAGAGCTCGAAGAGCGTGAACGGCTACGACTCGGAGGAGACCAGATTCGTATTTACAGACGCGAGCCGTGACGAGCCTATCGACGAGCTGACATCCTCGAAGCATGTGGCCCACATCGACGGCAATAACATCGAGGTGAAACCCGGAGAGTACTACCAGTAAGCCATCCTGTTTCATATTTTTTTTATGAATATCGCAGAACGAGCTACTTGCGAGGAGGCTTTTGAGCCGGAGTTCGTTTTATGGAGAGAACGATGCAACTGCATCTCCCGTGGTAGTGAGAATTAAATTCACAGATGAAAATTCGAAATTTCATTCTATCGGCAGAAGGCCGATTCCTTTGCGATTGCAAAACATACAGAAATAAAACAAAAAGAAACACAGCAGCGAGAATGAAAGAGAAATAGCAATATCGCCGCGCAGAGAAAATTACGAGAAAAGAATAACGAGCATTTCGACAGGAATAATCGGGAAGCGTTCGCGCGGCAATTTCAACGACACTTCGCGCAAAATACCTCAATTCCTTCGCGTTTCCAACCCGGGCAGCAGCGATTTCCAGCAGATGTTGCGAAATAATTCATTACCGCCGACAGAATCGTGCCGACCACGAGCGAGTCGATGTCGGGGGAAGGACGAGGGGCTCCGCAGAGAGCAGATCTCCTGTCGGAGCCCCATCAGCTGGTTGGCGCGCCGTTGAAGCCACGATCACAACCTTCGTCAGCGGTGGATCAACAACGACGGGGCCGTCAAGAGATCCCCAGGATCTATAGCGAGCACGCGAGCGCGCCGCCGATCCTGCAGACCGCCGCGCCGGGACACAGGCAAGCGAATCCCGACATACAGGACATCATCACCGGCATCGTCAAGTTGCTGAACGGCAACGTCAACGTGGCCGCCAACACCGTAAGACCGTTGAGGCCGGTGCAGGCCACAAGGTATGAGAAGAGCGCGGACGTGCGACGCTCGACCCGTCTCTGCGCTGAATATTCATGCACACGCTTCGTATAGTAACGATAACATTGCGTTCGCAGGATTAATAACCGAGGACCGCCCAGAATCTCGGACGTGCCGCCGTTAGCGTTGGACTTCGACACTCCTGGCATGAATCCGCCGCCACCGCCGTCGTCGCACCCTTATCCGTTTGAAAAACCTCCTGCGCCTGACAGGCCATCCTTGAATCAGTTGCCACCTGACAGCACGAGACCTGTCAGACCGTTCATTAGCGGAGTGCCAGTACCGGAGCAGATCGTGCCGCCTTGGAGTTGGGATTCTTCTCACGGTACGTTTCGCTGATTTTCCGCAAGCAATAACTTCTTCTCATGCAGGTGTTTTCGTTTAACGATCAAGATTCTGATAATTGTGGTCAGTCGATAGTCAGATTAGACGGGATTGTACAATTATGATACACGCGTGCATGCTTGAGAAGAAGTCTTCATCTCCTTCAGGTGGAGTTCGGAGGCCACCGCTGCTCCATAAGCCGTTGCCGCCGCTGTTGGATTCCAGCTTCCACCGTGACAAGAACTTCACGATGACGGAGAACTCGCAGTACGATCTGAAACCAGAGACCGAGGAGACACCTCAGGAGAGTTCGACGAAAAAGAAAGACGCTAGTCAGCTGGGCGCGCACACGAACGACCATCGGATTCAGTTTCATAACACTACCAACGATAAGGATGTGATCGAATCCACGGCGATCGTCGACGACTCAGGCCTCCAGAACGTAACGAAGAAGCCGGAAGCTGAGGAACCCACGAGGAAGAACCACAAGCAGCAACCCTCTTCGGACGACAATAAGGTCAACGCCGAAGAGACGTTGATCCTCGGCGTTGCTACAGATAATGTCAACCCGACTCACTCGACGCGACATCCGGCACCTTCCAAGACCACGATGTCTTCGAGTAGCCAAACAAAAGTCACGAAACCTTCGAAGAGCGAGGACAAAACGTCGGCGACTTCCAAGGGGGAGAAACCGGCCGAGAAAACCGTCTCGGCCGTCTCGAAGACAGCCACGAAGACCTTCTCGACCAGCACTCTCAACATCGAGACTAGCTCGTCCGTCCAAGTGATCGAATCCACCCCGACGAAGGTCGTCCTCCGGCCGACTGCAGCCGCTACGGAGTCAAACGACAATTTCAAGTCCAGCGTGGTGAGTTTGGAGCCTAGCAGAGCGTCGGACATCGAGTATACGACGCCCGCATCCAGCGTCTCGACGCCGACCGAAGGTCTTCCTACCAGTTACTCGAAGAGCTCGGCCACGGTAGACAAGAGTGCTGTTCACCCCGCGACATCGGTTTTCACGAAGAATACAGGTACGCGAAGAAGCGCGGATGGATAGGACGCAGTTGTGACGAGGGTGCCAACTTGATTACCCGTCGAATTTGCACTCTTGCTTATTCGCGCTTATTTAAGTGGCAATTTTCTTGGTTCGCACCGACGAGTAACGTACAACTCCGCAGGATCCACGGAACATTACCGGCCACGACCTGGAATCGTCCTGGACGACACCCTGGATTACACCGGTGCTCAAAGATTGCCGAGTCAGAGACCGTACGTGCCCTCGAGACACCCACCCGCCCACGGTGACGTCTTCGACGTGACCGTTTCGGCGATCCAGGGACCCGGAGGAAGTTCCGGTAACTTTCTCATTTACGCTCCTCGCACGCATGTGGCTTGCTGATCCTCCTCGTACGATGTACGGCGAGACTTCGCGATATCTCAACACGGGGAGGAAAGATTGCTCGAATTAACGCGCTAGTGAGCGAGCCAAAGACGCCTCGGTTGAGGGAAACCGAGCACTTCCGACTCTTACGAGGCAAGAGTGAGCGTCTAATTGCCGTCTTTATTCAGGGGAGAGCGTGAGAGTGTCGGTGAACCCCGCTGGCGGAGATGTCATATTAACCACCGCTGTGGGCGGGCAAGGCTACGTGAGTATCGACGGTAAACGAACGTATTTGAATCTGTTTGACAACACGGACCGAACACCGGCTGCACCCACACACGTGCAACCGCAGCCGACCAGAACTCAACCGCCGGCGATCGTCGGCACCGGGTGAGTCTCTCTCTTTCATGATTCCAATACGACGGTTGGTTTGAGATCGCGTCGCCGTACGACGAAGAGCCAAGTGCAGGTCGCAGTTTCTCGGGCGACGAGATAAATTAAGTTCAATTAAGAGAACAAATTAATGTTTCACAGTCCGGCCAGATATTTCTCTCCGCGTCGTCCCGCGACGATTGAAGAACGACGGTCGGACACGCTATTGGTTGCAAAACGAGCACGAGACTTTTACCGCTGGCCGGACTTGTGTTCTCGTTTGAAATTCCCTCTGTGCTTTGCGCAGCCTCGCCATTCCACAACCCGATGCACCCGTCGCCACTTCGCGCCCGAATGGGTCCAATCGAAGGCAACCGCCGTTGTATCGCAGACCGACGCAGCCACCTGTCAGAATAGACACCTGCATCGTGGGCGACACGAGTACGTGCGACGCCAGCCAACACGAGGCCTGCGCGACTGTCCAGGGGGTGTCGGCTTGTCACTGCAAGCCCGGATACGCGAGATTGCAGCATTCGTTGCCGTGCAAGAGTTAGTGAACGTGGTTGTAAATTGTGAGGTGCTTCTCAGCGGTAGGCTCATGCTGACCTCGCACGTGACGCTTCTGTTGCAGAAATCGTCAGTATCGTCGTATCAATCAGAGTGGACAAATTTTACAACAAGAAGATCGTGTGGGACCGAGGACTGGCCGATAAGGACTCGGAATCTTATCAGACTCTGGCTTATGAGGCGAACAGAGCGGTCAGTATGACAATTAAATCGTCGCCTGCAAAATTAACGAGACAGTGATCAATTCGCGCACCTTTCCCGTTTAATTGATTTTGATTTATTGAAGCCACGTGTTCTATTTAAATGTAATGTATAATCTTTAATCTTCAAATGCTCTCTTCTCTCTTAAAATCTTCTCTCTTCATATTTTTTCTATTCTTCATTTAACGTAATTAATCTTTCTCGCAAATTACTTTCAACTTCTCCTTCTCCATTCTATGTTTAGCTAATTTTTTCCTGTTGTTGCGTGTTGAAGCTCTTTTTTACACACACATTTTTCTCACGCAGGTTGAGTCCGCCATGTCCATGACTCCGTTTTCCGACGAGTACATGGGATCGCAGATTAACAACGTGTACCAAGGCGACGTGAGCCAAGGACAGGGGGGTGTTTTCGTAAACACGACCCTGAAGCTCACCTATGAGCCGCGAACGATCAGGCCGAGTCTGGCAGGTGAACTTCAAAGGCACCTGTTGGGTGTTATTCACAGAAGGAATAATAATATCGGCAATAGCGCCTTGTACGTGGACAGTCCGCCTGGATCGATCTCGAACCTGCAGGGTAAAAGACTCTCCGACAACAGCAGTCGGATGTGACGCTATTGCAACTCGCACGAGCGAAACTGTAATCTCAACTTACAGATTTGGACGAATGCGCATCGTCAGAGCTGAACGACTGCCACTCCTCCGCCAGCTGCAGCAACATCTTCGGAGGCTTTACGTGTAGCTGCAATCCAGGATTAAAGGATCCTCACAAGGATGATCCCAATGAGTCCGGCAGAACGTGCTTGTCGTGTCCCTCAACTTACTGCAATAATCGCGGCTCATGCTCTTACCAAGGCGACCAGATGCAGTGCGCGTAAGCAGCCACGACGATCGGCGCGAATCCTTATGGAATTTCTAACGCTCTGGCTTTACGGTATTCCAGGTGTACCGGCAACTACTACGGCGCTCAATGCGAGGTCGACGGTGAAGTGTTGGGTGTCGCAATAGGCGCCTCTGTGGCTGCATTAATAATCATAGTGTTGACGCTAGTCTGTCTCGTCATGTGGAGGTAATAATCGTTATTGGATTGAGCAAGTGGACTTTTTCTTTCTTGCGTATCGAGCGCATTAATGCCCGTCGAATTTGCGACTACAATTTTTTATTAATAGCAACAGAACTATACATAGACCTCGCTTCAAGTATCCACCGTCCGACGAAATTTTGCGAGTCTTAATAATATACAGGGTGTTCATTTGCAAACTTTCCAGCTAATTATCTCGAAAACTATAAAAGATATTAAAAAAAGCTAAAACACGTGATTTCGAAGGGGAAAGAGAATGGCATTATCAGTTTTTTATTTCGAGGGCATTTTTAAGGTCAGTTAAAGGTCAACTTAATTTTTTTAAATAGAAAGCCCACTTTTTTATTATATTTTCTTTCTTTACCAATTAATTTTGACAACTTTCGTCTGAAGAACTTTTTATTTGCCTAATATTTTTTGAAATATTTAAGGAAAACTTGGTAACTTTTTCAACATTGAACTTACGATATCTCGCTAACTATTCGTCGAAAGAAAAAATAATATTAGATTTTATTACTTTATTTACTATCAAAAATATATTACTATAATAGTGCCTTAACTTTTGTTAACTTATCGACCTTTGGAAATTTCAAAATTATTAAATTAACAAAAGTTAGGGCACTATTATAGTAATATATTCTTGATAGTAAACAAAGTTAAAAAGTCTAATACTATTTTTTCTTTCGACGAATAGTTAGCGAGATATTGTAAGTTCAATGTTGAAAAAGTTACCAAGTTCTCCTTAAATATTAGGCAAAAAGTATTGGGCAAGTAGAAAAATGTTTCAGACAAAAGTTGTTAAAATTAATTGGTAGAAAAAGAAGATATAATAAAAAAGTGGGCTATTTTAAGAAATTAAGTTGACCTTCGACTGAAAACTTTGAAAATGCCCTCCAAATAAAAAACTGATAATGCCATTCTCTCTCCCCTTTGAAATCATGGAACACGTGTTTCAGCTTTTCTTAATATCTTTCATAGTTTTCGAGATAATTAGTTAGAAAGTTTTCAAATGAACACCCTGTATATGAAGTCACATGTGTCTGTATATCGAAACGTAAAATCAAGCTGCGCATGTTTTGCAGTCGAAGGTGGTCCCGTGAACAAAAGTCCGTGGGCTCCCCGGTGTACGGTTACATTCAAAGCGGAATACCCGGCACTCTCCCAGGTAAGGTGAAATTAGCGTACAAACGGGAATCCGGATTGTCGCTGGCAACACAGGCGATCTACAGTTTTTATCTCCTGCGTCCACAGGGACTTTAGCGAGGGTTGGCTCTGTGGGCACTCTAGCGTCCGTGAAGCAAGGCCCGCCGACTAACCTGCCTCCTTACATGTGGGCCCACTTCGGGGAGCACATGGCCACGGCGAATGTCTACGCGGTATGTGGCAACTTTACGTGCAATTAACATCCCGTAATAATAAATAACAAGCGTGGTGAGAAGATCCCTTTCTTCGTCGGGGGAAGAATGCTCTTCTCGCCATCGAGTACCTTTGGCTTCCCACCGAAAAGCTTTCTGCCTTCTGCTTCTTGAACGAAGCAACTTGACGTTATCGGGACATTTTATTGTCGCAAGACCGAGCCCATGGGCCCGACTAGACCGAGCTCGGCGATGTTCGGTTACCCATCCATGAACGTGCACGGCACATTGCCGCCGGTCCCACTACCGCGGCTGCAGGCCCCACCACGACCTCGACAGAGACCCCAGCCAGATCCGGATAGCTCGGATTCCGAGCCGCAGGATAAAGATAGAGCCGACCTGATTCCGCAGAGCAGCGGTTTTCACGTGCCCAGGCCGAAGTCAAGGTCCTCATTAGCGGTAGGTGTTCGTTTAGTGGTGCGGCGAACGCGTTTTAGATCACGGCGAGGAAAAGCAAACACGAGCGCACGGGAAAATAGCGCAGTCCAGCGTAACTGGATTCTTGCGTAACCGGATACTTCATCTCGGAGATACCGGTCGATATGCTCGTCGTGATTGGGAGAGACTCGACGTTGGCGGCAGGTCGGTCGCTCTCGTCGACTCGCGTTTTACAGCCTTTAATCGCACTTTTCAGAACCAGAGCGGCATTTATAACGACGTGGAGTACGACCAGGGTGACGTTCATCATTTGTCGAAGAACAACATCCCGATGTCCACTTACAGGCCGTACTACAGAACGTGAAGCTAATGAAGTTCGAGGGGTGGCACGTTCGCGCACTCGCACGTGCACCAAGGGACGTCGCGATACATTTATCGTCTCAAGTGCTCAATAAATAGTGCGTTGCGATACTCGTGGTGCTGCGGATCCCAGGTATGAGCGCGATAGAAACTCCGACTTGTCCCAGAGTCCTGCGGGCGAACGAGACGATCGCGAAATACACGGATAGCATTCGCAAACGTGAAGGAAGCGGCAGCTTAATCGCAATCGCGCGTATTAAGCAGATTAGATCTTGCTTGCTACGGAGTCGTGTTCTCGCAGTCACGCGACCGTACACGCTTCTACGGTAGATCGATATTCTCAGTGTAATATGAATATATTTATTACTTATTGGTACCCCGCGATATTCTTTGTAAAATCCAAAAAGTGTCCGAACGCGCGCGCGCGCGCGCGTGTCGCGTGTACGCGCGCGTGCGTTCGTGTGTGTGTGTGTGTCGACCGCACCACGTACGTGACTATTTCTAGTTTATCATGATTAGCTCAATACTCAGAGTAAGGATAATTTATAATCACGAATTATTGACTGCGTTTATCCGTTAAGTTGAGTTAGTAACTTTCTTAAGCGAGAACTAATGTGTATTGCGTTGTGAATTAAGTAATTTAGCGTTCGCAGAATAATTTTACGTTCGTATTCGAGTAGCCCTGAGCGGTCTGATTTTAATACGTTTTGAGAAAGACTTTAATATAATTACGAATAATTTATTAAAACCTCCTTGAGTATATAAGGTGTAATCTCGGCTCCGTGGGCGGTAAATTATTACTTTTTGGCGCATCGCCTACATCGTGAGGTATCGGCGTTACTTTAATTTATTAAGCAATCTCTGTAATTATATATACACACGATACTTTTTTTCACCTTGAATATAAAGTAATTTAAAAAGCTTATTCGATCGTTACTTCAGTTTTATAATTTACTAACGTACGTAAATTCGGAGAGTGGGTGAGACGTAAAGTAAAAAAGATTAACCGAAATGTACGAGACTGCGAGATCAGAATAAACGGTAACAATAAACAACCCGATGCGAGCGATCGCTCTAATGTCTAATTAATGTGACTTTGAAATCGTCTATTGACGAGATAAAAATAGCTTCGGAGCAGCGAGACTGAAACCCGATTGCCCACTTTCGCGATAAAGCAGCGAAATGCGCGATTTCGTGTAATATGAAAAACGAGGAGGCAGATAAATAGTGCGCGACAGACACGTCCGTAGATATTAATATTTGCTGTTCAACAAAGTGTGACAGAGCAAATTGATGTAACTCTGCTGTTTCGGTAACAGAAACGGTCGCGTCGTGTGTGACAAGTGTTATCGATCCGCCCGACACACAGCGTCTCGGCAGGAATAAAATATTTAATCGGGTGTGCTCGCTACGAATGAACACTAGATACCTGCATATATACGCCGACATAAGTAGGAGAGAGGTGAACAACCTCGATCGATTTTCACCGAGGAAGCTGCGGTTGACTGCTCGATGCTTCAAACGTTTTACCCGCCGGCATTCGACAGTCGAAAGCTGCGAAATTCTCGCGCGATTTCTGATCGCGTGACAATGATCGATCTTACAGTAAATGAACTTCATCACCTCGAAACCATCCGTGCAAAATTGACGTTATCAACGAGTTGTGTGAGACCCTTCTACGAAATTTTCACGTTGAAATGGCGAAGTCTGATTTTGGTCTCTGCGAGATGTGTGCGCAGATGCTGAATCAATCCGTCCGCCACGGCCGTGGCGGTACTCGTGTTGTGTGTGCTACTGGCGAACTAAATTAATATCAAATTAAAAGTCCTTAGTCGAGCGAAGCTGATGAAAGGGACCGTAACGCTTGAAAGGGTTCCCGATATTCGCTTCTCGCTCTCTCGCGCTCTCCTCTGATATCTTCGTATCGCACGGCGGTTTCGAACGTTTAATGGCTCAATTTTTCCAGTCTCTCAAGTGGTCAGCAGGGAAATCTCCGTGTCATGAATCACCGTGTCCCTCGGTACAATGCATTTTACTTTCCCCGTCTGCATGTTTCACCTGAAAATGTTCCAGACCCCGACGACCATCTCACACGTTTCTCCCGCGGAAGACGGAGAGAGCGAGGTGCGAAAATCGCCGGATATTGCATCACGAGAGAATTTATCGGGCGAAAGGCGAAAAATTGGTCAGTCATTTAGCCGGTCGACACCGTCGCGCTTTCGCGGAGAATGCGCGGGAACGCGGCCTCACGTGTCCCACTGACATTTGTTTCGACGATAACCGTCGTGATGTCGCAATCGAAGCTGCAAGCTCCGCGCGATTGATATTAATCAAAGGAAACGCGTGGAATTACCGACGCGTCGCGACATCAACGAATATCTCCTCGTGCACAAGCGACTGCGAACAACTCGCGGTTCTTTGTAACAAATGCGCGCTCTGCGAGTGAAATATATCCGCTTGCGCGTTTCATTCCGAGTGTTCGGTTTTCCATTGTACATTTTCGCAGCGATATGTACACTTGAGCGTAAAATGCTCATGCGTTTTGTGCGAAAAAGCAGGCTCTCTCTCTCTCTCTCTCTCTCTCTCTCTCTCTCTCTCTCTCTCTCTCTCTCTCTCTCTCTCTCTCTCTCTCTCTCTCTCTCTCTATCTATCTATCTATTTATCTATCTATCTCTCTCCTGTCGCCCTGGTATTCCATTTATTATTATCGCACGGCAAATGCCGCTCCAAATTACGCGATAGCCGAAGTTTCAGAACTCTATCGAGTTGCCCGGCGCGTCCCGTCCGCGTTTAAATGCGACGCGTCGAGCGCGACGGAGGAGGAATGCGGCCGTGGTTGAAAAAAAAAAAATAAAAAACTTTCACTGGCGATTCGCGTGCGACTAGATGGCTCTCGGTGGAAAATTTCGCGCGACAATCGCGCGCTGTTTTCCCGCCGAGCCGCCGAGCATCCCTCGCTTTCTATGATTGCAACGCGGCGTCGCTTGACCGCAGCTTCAAATGACATTCGTGACGTGCACGTTAGCCGGCACATTTTTCGCGTTGCATGTCGAGCACGTTTGACGTTTCGAGCCGGACAATACGCCCCCGGTATAAATTACACGTTTTATGGCAGCAAACACCGTGTCTGGACGGAAAGTATCGAATTTCCGCGCACGGTGCCCGTGTCGTGCCGTTTATCGGACAGCGGGATATCAGCCACGGCTGATATCATGCGAGAATGACGTCAATTGACCGGCAATGGCTTCTTTTTAATATTTAACTCGGCCGCTTTTTTCTTCTCTCCTCTCCTTCTCCTTTTCTCGAACGGCCGCGCGTGAATGGCTCTGTACATCGATAAGACCTTTCAAATTATCTCCCGTCCCTTGCGTCGTCACGTGTCTCTCTATTCATTGAGCGTCGTATCTCGTCTTGTTGGAGCGTCCTTGTTATATATATGATTAGATGCCATCATGCTGATAAATCGGAACAGCACAAACAAGCGCGGCGAATGCTCGCGTTACGGATGGCAATCAGTGAGACTTCGAAGTGCACTTAAAAGACGAGTCGGCGAGCGAGTTTTGTGTATTTTCTCTCTCCTCTCTCTTTTCTCTCTCTCCCTCTCTCTCTCTCTCTCTCTCTCTCTCTCTCTCTCTCTCTCTCTCTCTCTCTCTGTTTCTATCGGGGGAGATCCGACTGCACCTCGGTGGAGTAAAATAGGTTTTCGCTGTCGTTACGAATTGTAACTCGATTAGCGCGCGGGCTGCCCGTGTCAAGGAAACCGCTCGGCCGCCGCGTCCTCTATTAACCTCATTGGAGACGAACTGGGCGACAACCTTGTCTTGTAATTCCGAAGCTCTGTATTGCAAGTCGATTTGCGCTCGTCACTTTTTCATCGCGGGATTAGCCGCAACTCCACGCCCGTACGAGCGCGATCTCCTGCGATCCAGCGCCTAAACGGGAAATTGGTGTCGCGAGGTGCGATGCGGTGTCCTCGTGGAACGCAGCTGGACGCGAGAGACGTAATTGCCGCGATGGAGTTTCCGGGTGGCGCGAGAGTTCACATCGAATTACAGGCTGAAATTCGCGAGATAAGATTGCCGCTGTGGAAATCGCGATAACGGAAGAGTGACGAACGGCGACAGCTGAATCCACAAAAATGATTGCGTTTTCAATATTCGTCGTACGACAGATCATCATAATGTCCGCACAGAATTCGACACGATCGCGATGTTTTCATGGATTTTCCACGAGACGCGGAAATATACCGCCTTCTCCTTCGGAACGCTCCGAACGAGATACGCAGAATTTGTTAAATTAATCGCACTCACACGAGTCGGAATGATTAACGCGCATTAAGGGGATCGCGGAACTAGTGCGGGGGATTCGAACAATGGCGGTCGGCACTGGCCGTGTGTCAAGGAAATCCTCTCGGATTTTAACCTCCGCCTCTCTCTAATGTCAGAACTGGCTGAGCCTCGCGATTTCCTACGGAACCTTGATCTCGTTCGTCGTGAGCGATTAAATGGGACGTGATTTTTGTGGGCACCTGTCTACCGCGTAGCTGCGAAGGCGGCAACGCGCGACCAGCGATAATGCAAGTAATGAGGAGCAATCGACGGAATAATCGGCGGAAAGTCGAAACTCGAAGGAAATTCAGTTTCGGAGCGAAACTCTCGCTCTCTCCCCCGGCCAGTAAAATACGACGACGATTGCTCCGCGGTGGGAGAACATTAATAAAAAATGTCACATTATGAAACATCGATAAAGATTATACAGCGAGCAAATTCATGCTTCTCCCACACACAGACGCGCACGTAATACAAGGGTATTGCACGTTATCACACTCGATGCGCACACGTACATACACGCGCCGATGCGTGACTCACGCGACATTGGACACGCGTGATGTTCAGCGGCGACATATCGGGGAAAAGTTTCAGCGGTCGGCGTCGTCGATAATTCGCCGAGGGGCGTGTGATCGATTTTATTTATAGCGCACCGTAAATTCACGCATTCCCCAGCGATTACACATAACATGTCGCTTCGACATCGACGGGTACCGTCGAGACTATTAGGGATACGCGACGGAGAGCCGTCCTGTAATTCCGAAGCTGCTCGTTTCTGAATAATTAATTTAGATCGAGTCACGATCGAAAGAAGGCGGCTGCCCCGCGTCGAGCAGTCGATAATTCCGCAGCATTCGACCGGCGCAGACTACCACCACCACCACCACCTGTGGCCACCTCACACACGCGCGCACGGGCGTGCGATATCCTGATATTAGCTTTAAAGATTCCCAGAGCGCAGAACGAAGTACGTTTCGTCAGCAACACGCCTCGTCGGAGTTAAATCGAACTCGGCTGGTCCAGCTTGCCGGCAACGGGAATTCCTAATCCGAGTTGTAATCCGGGAAATTGGATTTGCAAGTTTCATGGGGAACATTTGCGCGAAACGAAGATCCGAAGTGCATCCGCGGAACGCGTATTAGATTGTAGCTGGCCAGCTCAAATGGAAATACCGACAATTGCTGTTTTTATGAGAGATTTTATTACACAGCTCGCGCCCGGAAGAAAAGATGCCGCTTTCCCCGCGCGAAAACATCGGATCACGATTTTCAGCTTCGTGTCGGCTCGACCGCGTTTGGAATCCTCCGGAGAAACAACGCGCACCGCCGAGACGCGTCGCTCTTAAATTTCGCCGAACCGCTAATCCATTCCCCGCGCGTATATTAAAGGATTTCACTTTGCGACGAGGCAAAATCTTCGCGAGCTCCTCCGAGGCAAAAACCGGTTGGCCACGTTGTTGTTTGGAGCTTGAAAGAAGTAATTAGAAAAAAGAGTCGCACCAAAGATGATTTGCATTGCGACGACGTGACGAACGCGGCAGGTGTCTGCCGTTATCGCGCGATTGATTTGCAGAATTCCCTCGGCACACCTGCGGCCTGTGAACACTGACTCGCGTGAGTTATCGATTTCGGCTACATAAATCAAGTAGCGTTACGTAATGAACCGACAATCCGCTCGTCAATGCTCGTCGAGCGCGCGCGCGCACGCTCGTCAGACTATTCCCTTTGTGATCCATTCCGCTTCGATTTATAGGTCGAATTTGCGAGAGCGCGACAACTCCAAATTCGCGCACTGGCAAAGCTACGAGTCGTCGAGCGGACGAATTATTGATTAGCCGTTGGCCGTCCGGCGCGATGCGGACGGCCAACGGCGGCTCATGAACTTTATCGCGTAAATTAGCAATCACGTGTCCGACTAATTGCCTGCTTTTTATCGAGCTTGTAGTAAAAGGAGGAAAAGCCGTAGTAGTGGTAAAATGAGGAGGAAAGAGCTCCCGCCGATGAGCGGATGATGAATGAACCTGACGTTTGGTCTCTCGCGAGAGATCGCGTTATGCGGAAGCGCACTCACGCATAATGACGCATCATCAACGACGGCCGATTTCTCATCGAGGTTGAAGATTCGACTCGCGGCGGCCGAGAGCTAACGCGACGCGTGACTTCTTCTGCGCGGCGCTTTTCGGACTCGAAGAACAGCA